CTCTGGACATATCAATCTTTATCATATATGGACTCCAGAGGGTAAGATAGAGATCACCATTATCCCAATTACTTTGGACTAAACTAAATCGAAATGCTTGGGTATGAAAAGTAACCATGGGATACCCACCGTCTTCTGACAAACTGGGACAAATTTGGAAGTCCAAGGTCGAGGTCCAAACACTACGCTAAATTTAGATGGTGTGCTTGGTCTCCGCCACCTCTGAAGGCAGGCCCTCATCTGAAACCTAGGAGCGACCCCGCTATTTTGGAGGGAGATACGCTGAGGATTCGGTGGTACTTCTATCTCTAAATTTGGTTGACCACTCTCTTAGGAGTACGGTAGGTCTCAAGACACGGGAAGATAAAGTCAATCTCCCCACTCAAATATTCTCTGTTTCGTGGCCGGATTATGGAAACATCCAAATTAGCGGGGCTTGGCCGATGACGGAAACCTGCTCGCAGCCTATAAGTTTGGACTCTGGAAGGGACCATGAGGATAATTATGCGGCAGCTTAGATCCGGCCGGCAGTTCTTAAGAGTCCACGGGCCTTCAAGGGAACTGCCGGCCAGCCGTAAATTGGGCTATTTTGCTTCAGATCCGTTTTCTGATCCAGCCGTAGTCTACATAGATTTTAGATCCGGTAATTTACCGGATTCTAAGAGGGAAGTCTAGATCCTAAGACTGCATTGGATATTGCGTGATACCAGGGAATGGAGGTGGGGATAGGAACGCCCCGTAATGACAAACATTGACGATGCAACAAGCATCGCACAAGGATGGGATTCCAGAATAGAGAATCTTGTGAGAATCTGTTATGGTGTGGATTCGAACGATGAGGCCGGGTCACTACGCATCAATACCGACGGCGTTCATGTGGACAAGGAAACGTGGTGGATCCGTACACAATAATCACGGCACGCACGTTTTATTCAGACTTTCAGATAGAGGAAAACGTTTCCTTCCTCATCGATCGACTTATTGAAACTGGCGAGATACGGAACTTGTTGACAACTCGATGGATAAACATGCGGATCGGGACACTGCAATCCCGACAGAGAGAGTCGTAGAGTCATGTTCTGCACAGTCATTTCAGAAGTATATGACGTTGAGAAATTTAAGAATCCAGCGCATGAGATGTGGCTAGAGCTGTAGAGCCGGCAGCACCTGTTGAGGCTGTATGAAGTGATGGGCAGCGGTAGAAAGCTCCCCACCACGATATTTTCACCACTTTGCGTGGACTGCTCGAAGTTGGAGGTGTTTCATCCCAACCGTGGAGTGACTGCACAGTCGAGAGAACCAATTTGTGCAGCCGCTTTCAGTTCTCTAGTTATCCTTCATCTCAAAATTGAGCATTTTGTACTATCCTAGCCGATTGAGAAAAGAGGAGAATCTTGGGGCTCAAATCATCCAACTCATGAAAAAGTACTGAGCCCCTTTACTTGGATGTACAAATAGCCCCTTTAGATCAGCCACTTCGTAGTACAATCAATTTATACTCATACACAAAACTCTTTGAAAATGCTTGAACTCCTTGCACGCAGATGTGGACGCTTCAGTGAAGCCTTTCATCATTTGTCAGCAGGATATCATAATTGTAGACTCCCGTTATCAATCTGAGTCATCGAATTGTCCTTTTGAGGTATGCAAACTAGTGCTTTTTACTTCCTATCCCACGTCACAGTTGGAAACCGTTTATATGTTGTTTAGGTGTGAATCATCATTGTACAGCTTGACACAAGCATTACTCATAAATTATTATGTTGGTCTCACATTCATTTGAGATGTTCATAGCCATAAAAGGAGCCAATCCTTGCAAGACAAAAGGCATCATTCCGTCATTCTAATTTCACAATCCTGCCTCAATTTTCTGGAGAGCTTTTCAACGCCTAGATCCTGCTTTTCAACGATCGATAGGAAACTGAAGGCGAGGCTGCTGCAATCTACAGAGGCTTTACAACAACGGAAAGTTACTCTCATGTTCATCTCGCAGAGAATAAAATCCGGACAACTTGCTCTCCCAAGACGACAAGCTGTAAATGTCCGCAAATCCTGATGAGTGACCATCACTCGTGGAGAACAGTCACCTCCTCTTCCTACTCTCGCTCGTTCGATGCGGCGCGAGGGTCCGGCAAAGTGTCAGAAAACGTGTTTGGATATTACCGCCAGATGGGAAGACAAGACTCAGGAATAGTTATCTTGGAGTGAAAGGCACCATAAGAAGAACACCTGTTGCTGTGAGAGGAACTTCGGAGAAATTTACATCCTACGCAAGCAGATTAAATTTGGATGACGATTTTGAGGTCCTACACCCAGACAAAGTGCAAGAGGTAGCGGAGCAGGTGCATCCCCGGAAAGCTATCAGTCAGTTGTGGATGGGTTCTGTTCTCTCCTTAAACGCGTAGGGTATCATGAATAAAGTCAAGAAAGAGCATTGTGTAACAAGGGGCGAATTACAATGGAAGGTTCACAATTTTCAAGGTACGAAAATGGACTATCACTAAGTGGAAATAATCAAAAGAAGGATTTCTATCCACGGTGTCATGCAAATTCTGCTTCTCCTTATCATGTAATAAGAAATCAGCTAGTGCTATGAAGAGGGCGCAAGCATGGAAAGAACAAATCAAGCAACACATGGATGAAACCAAAGGTCTAACATGGAGTTCGAATTTATAGTAATATCTCCAATATTTCCATGTGTCTTTTGGGTCCAAACCCGGTGCCCCTCGACAGATGACCCGTTGCCCAGAAGTTCCCCATCCAGTTAATTTAGCGCGACGCCTACTTACATGCAGACAATGCATGGGCATGGAAAGATTAAAGATCACACATCATGAAGTTCGGCACTAATATTGAAATTCCCGCTCGGGAACAAATGAATAGTTCAACATTTCATGTCGATATCAATATATTCATAGCATAAGAAACCTGGATTAAACTACTATATCATCAAATGCTTGTTGTCAGAAATAAAAGTAAGATAAAATTAACTAACAATAGTTATATCTCTTGTAGGCTATGTTGTACAATACCCAATACACCTGAAAACATTTCATAACAATAGAAACGTGAATCGATGTGCTTCATCTCAACGAGTCCTGTCTATTTGCTAAACATAAACTCAAAACTCCGATCTGCATTACAAAAAACTTTCATAAACTCTTTTGTATAGCAATGTTTGACCTCGGAATAATTTATTCAAAAAAGTCAAAAATTGAAGAAAACTCTACTAATTTTCTCCTTGATTCATATCCTTGACTCCATACAAATGATAATTTATAAATCGTAAAAAGTATCAAAATACGACCTTTCTGTAAATAAAAATTAGCTACATGTTAGTTATAACCTTCATAAAAGAATAACATGAGAAATAAATAAAGATATATATCTGTCTACCTATGATACTTATAAAAAAATTTCATAGTTGCAAACTATATAAACAAAAATCTGATATGCTATTCTATTTTTAAAAACTATATGTAAATCAATTTCAATCATTTATTAGATCTATCTAACATACATTTTTTCAAAGTAGACACCTAATCACAAAGCACATACTTTAAAAATTATTTTCATAGTGTATATATTTTGACATAGATTCTTATATTTACTTTATTGCAAGATGTAATGCATTTCAAGTATCAAAATGAATATATAAATTGAATTCAAAAAAATCATTATAAAGAAGATAATACCATCTATAATTGTGTAATAGATTGTCATAATAGATAACTCTAGATAACTCTTCTTTCATAAGTCAAAAATTCTATTTTGGAAGTAGTTGCTATTCACCCGGAACCCTTCACCTTACATTAACCAATAAGATGAACTAATGAGAGAGTGAAGCTAATTAGCCCTATGTGAGTTATAAGTAGCTGCTCGCTAAAAAAATGTGTAATTGTATAGAACTTTTTTTCCAAATAATTAATATATATATAAATATATTTGAATACTTCTACAATTCACGAAATAAAAATAATTTTAATTTGATAAAAAATGATGCACAATTTATATGAACAATTTTTACAAACAATTTTTGGATAATTCATATTTGCACTTATAATATGATAGTAACAATATTAAAATCATTAATAAAATATAATAAAACAATCCGAATACTTTTGGATTCTTCCAAAATGAAAATAATTAACGTGTACTAGAGTAATCGCCTACAATTTTCAATATCATAAAACTCCTCAATCAAAATAATAAATATTCTTTCTATGGAAATATTAAGAAAAAAGTTATAAATATTTTAATTTATTTTTTAATGCATGCTATAAATCCAACACATTTCATCAATATACATATGATTTCATCAAACTTTCAAAACAATATACAAGTATTTACAAATTCTAAACTCAATCATATTTTGAACCAGATTTATATTTCGTCAATAAAAAAATGATTTTCTACCAATTTGAAATTTATTCCAAATACAATACAAAGTATTTTGACAAATCTATCTAATTAATAAGAAAAATAGATATTAAATATCTAGAAAAATCAAAGAACGTTCTTTGTTTACTTTGAAAATTGTACTCTATTTCTCATTCACTTCACAACGGTTCAACTTGTGAACTATTTGTTATGATATGAAATCAAAGTTAGATATATTTTCTTATCAATCAGAAGTATATCATGTTTTAGAAATATCCAAGGTGTTTCCTAGTTATAGATCAATCATTGATCAATTCTATAATGAAGAGAATTAATTTGTTCCAAATCACTCTTTTGATAAATTTATTATTATGTTACAACTTTCTCTATCGACAAGAAGTTGAATCTAATACATGAGTTTCAAGTTTGGAATTGTTCGAGACTTTATATTTGCCATGTTGTCAGTTCGCAATATGAGATACTTCAACATGTTTAATATAATATGACTTGAGTAGATAGCAATCAAATGGATGTGGTATTTATGCGGATTTACCTTTTGTTGTGGTTTAATTGTGACTTTGACAGGTGGAATTTATCGTCGCAATTATTGCAAGTATTATAGATAGATGTTCGCAACATTTATCAAGTTTCACGTTTTTTATAAGATTTTTCTACATATTTAACTTTTCTTTTCTTACGAATGTTTTTCATCAAGTTAATTATTCGTGTTTTTCGTGCTTATCTGTTAACTAAAACTTAGGAGTGTTATTTTCTTTCCTACATTGAGAGGATAGTTTCAATTTTTTTCAAAGGGGAAAGCTTCAGTCAAATAATATTTGAAGTTGTCTACATATTTTTGTGAGGAATTGGAGTAGTGATCGGGTTTTCCAACTATCTCCATTTTCTCACAATGTATCTCTTCGACCGTTTGCTGCACACGAGCGGCAACAGTGAATTATATTCAATCAATGAAGACACTAAGAAATGAGATTACAATCTATTATTTCTCATACTCAAAATGTACAAGTTTAATCATTTCTCTTCTACGCAGACGTGTACTAGCATGTAATTGGTTGGAGTTGAATTTTTTCTTTCTACTTCAAAACGACAAGTTCGAAATTTTTTTAGTCTGCTCTACATGTACGTTGTTGAAAGACACATAACTTTCAGTTTGCAATGTCAACTACTTTCAGATAACTTAGTGGGAATTTTCTGTTGGTATTTTTTGGTACGGCAAGAAATAACAGTCTATAATACTGGAGAAGAAATATCAATCATTCTTGAAATTATGATCCCAATGAACTCCGTTAGAGAACAACAATGTTTTGAGACAAGGTAGATTCAACTTACCTTACGGCTCCCTCCAGAGCAATGACAGCTCTGGATGCTAAGTCCACAGCTCTTCATACTTCCCACAGCAATGTCTTGCCTCATATGATGGATCCGAATTGGCTCACCAGATTTCTCCAGGCATCGGAAACTATCTCGTGAGCCAATTCGAATTCAACATACGGGGACAATTTTCAAAAGCACACTTCGTTCGATGACGGTCCGGCCATCCAGTGTTGATCGCTTTGGTCAGCTGAGAAGATTATCGCATTTCAAGAATTCCACCACGTCCTTGAAAACTCGGCAGTAGCGATGTGCCTCACATACAGAATCCGATTTGACCCACAAACCCCTCCAGGTCCTATGTCCGGCTGGATCTCTGATGAGTTAATACGAATTCAACATACGCGGACAGAATTTGAAAGTACACTTCGTTCAATGACGGCCTGCTGGCCAGGATATAATCATTACAGTGAATTACCAAGATTGTAATTCGATATCATACCCCACGTGCCCCTTGAAGTCCTTCGCACCGGGTCGAGGCACACATCCTTACAATACTACCGATAAAGAATAACACGAACTTTGTTTCATTGAGGAAAACGAGAGTACAGCGAAGTGTCCAAAAGCTACTATCAGAGCACATCCATTGACGTGAGAATCACGTTGGATGCTGTCAGCGAAACTTCCGAGTTGATTTCAGCCTCAAATGAATCAGTCGTGCACAAATGTCACGCCTGGGATTAACGAGAGGCGTAGCAAGCAGCAAGAACGGTGATAAGGTCTAAACGCGATATGTGCCACAGAGTGCACGGGAAGTGATTGGTAAGTTACCTCGGGACAGCGAACGTGACTTTCCTCACACCCCCAGTACTTCTCTAACTTCATGGATCCTCGACAGACCATGCGGTTCTTCCAGTAAGTTTCTGCGTAATTTCTTTAAGCCTCTAGATGACGACACATTGCATTGACCTCAGTAAGAGGTAAATCGTCACAGAAATGCAGGGAGAGTGCCAAGTAGGTTCTCCTTGCAAGCAAGGGCTCAGCATCCCTGCAGCTCCGAATCTTTTTTACATCATAGGTCCTGCAAGGAAACCTTCGTGACACTGTGCCACGCTTCCGAGTGGGCAATTCTAGGTACACATTTCGATCACAAGCGGTGCGCTGACCTCAGTAGGAGGTAAATCGTCACAGAAATGCAGGACGTGTGCCAAGTAGGTTCTCCTTGCATGCAAGGGCTCAGCAGCCCTGCAACTCCGATCCTTTTTTACATCACAGGTCCCCTCATATCCATCAGACAACTGGACAACAAAAGATCTCAGGAGGGTAGTTGTCATCACAGAAATGCAAGAGTGAACCGAGGGGTTCTCCTTGCAAGCAAGGTCTCAGCACCCACTGCAGCTAAGACGACTGTTGTTGTTATCATCACAGATCTCGTGACCAACTCAGACTCCTCACCTCTCCTACTCTAGAGTTCACAGGATCCACTGACCTTTCACATCTTCGTCGAGTGGGGAGGGCAGGATTCCACAGAGATAGAAGTCGTCAACGACATAGCCGTCTTCTCTCCAAGTAACATCTGAACTATCCTCCCCTGCACACCTGACAGAAACGAGAAAACTACCTTTGACACATACACTCCACTACAAAACTAGTGAACCTGCACGACAGACACAGCTGATGAAGGTTGCGAGACCGATGGCGCCATATATACAAACATGCCGTCTTGCCACGAGAACAGTGAAAATGTCACGAGCTTCTCGAATCCTCGCAGCTGAGCTAATCGATGCGCCGCCGAGCGATCGCTGAGAAACAGTTTAGGGTTTCGTGCAACTTATAGCGAGCACGGGTGAGGCTAAGGGCCGACTCCCCGCTGCTCACTTGCCGATCCGACTGGTGAGGACAGTACTCTTGAAACCCGTTGAACGGTATTCCACCGGGAATTCAATGGTCACATTTCTTTGATCAGCGGACGCCGTTTACTATTATTTTGTCCTCCGTGCATCTTCCAGAAATTTCCGCATTCTCATTTACTGATGTTAATACCAAACATATGTATTATAAAAAAACGACTACGCACTTCTTATGAAATAGTACGCGATACCACATGCCAAAATATAGCCAAAGATGTTGAATGTTGCCCTATCCCAAAGAAAGTAAGAAAAAAATCACTAATAAATGGTTATCTAACCGTATGCTTTTGATGGTCTAAAATGAATGCAACTCATATATTGAATGCACTTTGTAATTATTGGTTGATTGTAGAACTGATTGAAAGATGTTCCCCATGTGGTATTTCATAAAAATATAATGCACAAATATTCCCAAGAAACGACATCTATAACAAACACCTGTTGTATGAATATGTGTATATTCTAAAACAATCATGATTTCCGAAAAATAGCATGTACTTCCGAAAAAAGATGACTATAGAAAATAACAGAACTTGCCTCACACATCTTGCACAAGATTTCAATTCTGACTCATATCCGTTATTGTTTTACTCTCTCCAGCACACCTTCATCAAATTGTAGATATCCAAGTCTAGATAAAATGCCAATACTAAAATATTAAAAACTAAATATATAATAATTACATCAAATTGAATATATATTTTAGATGGATTTTGTTATATTAAGTATCATTCTATTATTCTCCAAGCAATAAATTTACTCTATATACAGCTACCAATTACTAAAGTACTGATATAATGCATGGGAAGGCAAAGAAATATCCTTTGGGTCCCGAATTAGCTGGTGCACGTTGTTTCATGGCTTTCAGCTGAGCCGCAGAACCGACGCGACTCACAGCTATTCCCACGTTAATAGGGTCGACTTCCACGATAAAAGAGTTGTTAGAATTTAATTGAAATAACTGCTTATTGTATTGGATGTTATTACAAACAATTCAGTTAGAGATTGATACTATGTTTTGTGTTACACAAATTTGAATATTTTAAAAGTGTTACTAGTTCTTCTCATAACTATGATTTAAGCAATTTAGCTTCATACAATAACTTTAATTGACTTATTCTATTTTTCATTGAAATTTCATTTGATTAAAAAAAATAAACGTTTGTATAGTTTCATTTTGATGATTGAGTTGAGAATGCTCAACTCACCAAGAGAAAATTATTGTATCAAAATGATGATAGTGTAAAGATTTTTTTATTTGAAAATATCATTGTGGATTTATGCCTTGCTTCAATTCTAATAGACTACATGCAATCTCAATGATAGTTCCAAGTCAACATTAGCTCTTACGACATTTCAATATCTCCCCATAAATCTAAAAATATAATATACATACTAAATAAGTTTGTTCAAACACATGCTCACATGATTGTTGCATCCATTAATCTATAAATTTTTAAATGTACTTTGCAAAATATAATTTTTAATAAAATACTTACTTCAAATTTCATATTTTTATTGTAGAATAATTACTTTCTTCTAAGATATCATCAATATTATTATCTAAAATATCTATAAAATAAAAAACACTAGGTTTTATATCACTACATATCATTAATAGATATAATTCATCATATACAAAATATTCTTGATCAATTTGAACCTTTCAAAATTTTATTCTTGAATTGATCACATGTCATTTTGGTCTCAAAATATTGATAAATTTAATTTTTTGTAAATGCATCAAATCAAAATTTAAATTCAACCTAAACACTTTGTATCAGTCAAACAATATTATAAAATCAAGAAGTCAATCAAACATGCAATTTCATTCTTTTAACAAAATATCATAAGTTTTTCCAGTGAATTTTTTTAATTTATTATTATTTTCAAATAAATATATCATTCTTGAACTTAGTTAAAGTTAATAGAAACTAATTATAATTATAAAATTAATAATTAAAAGAGTACTTCATTCAAAAACGAAATACAACTCTAAATACGAAAGATATTTAGAAATCAATGAGTATAATGACATAATATATTTCCCATCATTTATTCAAATACTTGTGAATTAGTTGTATGATGAATAAATCTAACAAACACACAAATTTTGAATTGTCACTCTCAACTAGCACATTTAATTCATACCTTACAAGTACATGGATCGTGAACTTGTTGTTGTGAACTAAATGCATTCATTCTTTACATACAAAACATTTAATCCATGACTAAGTATCACATGGTTGTGAATTGGTCATTATCAATTAACTCATTGATTTATTTATCTAAATACATGGATTGGTGATATGACCACTACACATATTCCATACTTTAGTTCTCATTAACTAAAGATGACTCTTATAATCCAGAAAATGATATTTTTTTAAGTACATAGAAATGTGTTATAATTTCTCAAATTTTTGTTTCAATTCTTTTCATATCCATACTTGTTTTAGATTTAACACATACAGTTTTTTATTTTATTTTTCATAATTAGTGTAAATTAAAGATATTATTAACATGTGATTAGAAATATATATTACTATGTTGTATAAAATAATCATTTAATTCTTATAAAAATAATAGTTTTTATTTTATAAATATTTTTACTGTGAATTCATCATAATAAATTATTTAGAAATATTCTTTTTTTTTGTAAAATAATATCAATTCAAAATATTTTTTATTTATGTGAAATATAATACTTATATCAAAATTTGAATTAACATTCAAATTTTTTCCAAATCTTAATTTTTCAAATGAGGCAAAAATCTTAATTTCAAAATCTTAATTATTCATCACTTGTATCAAATTTAGCTTCTTCATTTATTTGAAAATAATTTAATTTTTTATCAAATTTTTTTCTTAATTTGAGTATAATATAATATTTTGAGTAAGATGAATGAAATTTTTTATTTTTTTACAAATTATAAACAATTCAAATTATTTGTCAAATTATTTTTCAATCCTATCATTTTTCAAAGCTAGTTATCTTTAATTTAGATAATGTAAAATAATTTTTGTAATAAAATTCATCTACATTCTTAAGTAAAAATAATTTAATGAAATTCAAGTTTTCTAAGAATCAATTAACATAAGTTAAAATTAAAGAAGGGTAAAAAATTCAATATGTGAATTTTAATTAAATGATAATTTCTAATAAATTATTCATAATTATTATTATTTCAAAATAAACCATTTTTGCTTATTCATACAATTGTAATTTGCGAGAATTTAAATTTAGGTGACGTTAAATTTTTTTTTTTACTCTTAAATCTTTATCTACTTCAATATCAAACGAATTTGTGTGTTTTGAATTAGATCAACAGAACATAAGCAAAGAAACAAGAAAATAACACAAAAATATATTTTTTCTTGTTGTTAAAGCTAATATTTAGTTTTATCAACATTCTCCTGAAAATTATATGATCTATTTATACTTGAACCAAGATGATGTATACATTTGAAAATAATGATGAAGATAATAGTTTTTTGGCCAAAATTTCAATGCTTTTAGATGTCCATACTTGATTCCAAGATGAGCATGAATGATTTGTTATATATTCAACACAACATGAAGATCGCAACTCAAAAGAAATTCCAACATCTCCATTATTGATCTACAAAGAAATCTTCATACCAATGATTTGTATATTATATGTAATCAATAGATGAGTTCCACGATTGATGTAGATGTAATCATAATTTGAGTAGCATTTGAAAAACTCTCATTCTTTTGAGAAATAATTTTCAAAAACTGAAAATTGTTTTTTTTCTCGTCAAATTGAAATTTAAAGAAAAAATTGTATGAAAAAATTGTTGAATAAATCAAATTAAAAAATCTTGAAGTTTTGATATTTTATGTGAACAAAAATTTTCAAAGAGTTTTTAGTAACACAACAATTTTGTATGGAAGATTGTTTCTATTTGTTTTTTGATAGAAACTTTGTCAATTTCTTTCATTCATTGTTGCTTGGCATTTGTTAAAATTATATTTTAAGCAACAAGGAGAAATGTGTCTTGCATTCAAGTGATTGTTGCTGTTGTCATCGCTCAAATTCATAAATCTACAAAATGAGATTTGCATTCAGTGTTTCTTGTTGGAAACAACTCATGGTATATTGTATGGAAAATGAAGTTTTAGACCGTCATTGGAAATGAAAATTGCTAGTATATACATACTTTGCTTTAGGTTTCTAGCAAAGTATATGCAACATAAATCTTGTTAGGTAAAGTTAAAGCTAAAATTTTAACTTTAGCTTAAAAGTTAGTTTTTTGAACTTTTAATTTTACTAAGGAAGTACGGCCAATATAGTCGTGGCATATATTCCGCAAATTACACACATCGGAATTTTAATCTTGTGAAAATATGTGAAAAGATTTCTTGAAAAGATGCTTATTTAAGGAAGTTGAAATTTTGGCATGGAATCAGAAAAACATAATTTCAAACAGAAATTTTGTTGATTTCAAATTTTGCTAGGTGATACATAGTGTAGTTGAAAACTAAGAAAAAATTGATGTTGCTGAAAACAGTTTGGTCATTAATTTTATACGTCGAATATATTTCTTGGGAATCAAAATTTTGATCCCTCCGCTTCAGGTCAATTTTTTTTTCACTCAACAATGTTTTTGACAAACCGTTTTCAGATGATGCACTAAAATTTTTATTTTGTGAAATTTTATTTTTTGGTCATTTTTGTGGCTAAATGTTGGACGCAAAGGATTTTTTGCCAACTCATTAAGGAATGAGCGATCTCAAAAGCAATTCAAGTGCATTAACTGGGGAGTAAGACACTATTAGACGACCTTAGCTTCCGTTTTAGGAGTAAAAGTGTCCTATGGTGGTGAGTGAGCTTGGAGGTCTACAGTTTGTCGTGGAAAA